CATTTTCAGAAATATATATATATGTATTTAGATAAAAATACGTGCCAATCTACTTGTGAATATTTATAAAATTTACGAATATTTGGTTAGTAAACTGATCAGACTGATCAAATCGATTCATCATGCGGAATACAGGTGTGCAGGACATAAGCATGTTTCAAGTTAAATGTCATAAACCAGAACTTAACTGACACTTGTTAAAAATTAAATAGGTAATAGAAGTGACAGAAATCGACTTTCGTGGATCTACAAAAGAAAGAAAAAATTAGGAAAAGTAACAAAAAAGTCAACAGCAACTGAGAATCAAGATAAAAATGATAAGGAGAAAGCTCGAATTATTGTTCGCAATATATCATTTAAAGTTGGTATATTTCTATTAAAATGTGATTTTATACATTATACTTTTATTGATAATATTGTTTTTGTCCATTTTTAACATCAGGCAACCAAAGAAGATGTGCAAAAGTTATATCGACCGTTTGGGGAAATATTGGAAATAAATTTCCCAAAACGTGCAGATGATACACCAGTTGGTTGTTGTTTCGTCCAATTTAAAAGGCTAGAAGATGCATCAAAGGCAATAGTCAACACAAATAAAAAGGAATTTCTTGGTAGAGTGATAAATAGTAGTTGGGCTGTTTCAAAATCTAAATACTGTGAGAAATTAAAGCAAGAATCTGAGGACTTGGAAAACAGTAGTGAACGTGATGCAAGGGAAGCTCCAGAAAAAGATGAAGATGAAGAAGATACAAATACAAATTTAGAAGAGCATCAAATAACAATTAAGCCAGAGAAAGATCCAATAAAAGAGGAATCAACGTTACAGAGAAAGAAAGAAAGAAGGAGATTATTGAAGGAACAGAACAGAAAGAAGAGGGCAAGAATTGTTGTAAGAAATTTATCATTCCAGGTAAGATAATATTAATTATATGATTTCATTTTCATGTTATTATTTGTTAGCTTTAGATTATTGAAATTTTAGGTGACGGAAGAGAACTTGAAAGAACATTTCTCACAATATGGAACCATAGAGGAGGTAACAATTTTGAAAAGAAGTGATGGTAAAAATGTCGGATGTGCGTTTGTACAGTTCGAACTAGTGCAGAGCGCAGCTAAAGCCATACATCATGCGAATATACAACCACTTCTCGACAGACCCATAGTAGTCGATTGGGCCTTACCCAAAAATAAATTTTCCCAAAACAATTCAGAAAATACAGATCAAGATGAAGTTAAAGTGAAAGTGGAGAAAGAAGAAGATACAGAAGATGCAGATAATGTGCATCAAGTTAATTCGAATGGAGAGTCAGGTGGGTGAGTACATTTTTCTATTATTATCATACGTAAATATAAGATATGTTTTTGAAATATAACGTGATGAATTGTAGTGAAGAAGAGAAACATGACGTTATCACAGACAATGATGTGGACTCTGATAAAAATTCAGAAGTTATTGAAATGGACATGAAAAATTCAGATGAAGTTTTATCTGAAGATGAAGCTGAGGATGAAAAAGAAGAAAAAGACGTGAAACGCCCACGATTCGAATCCCACGATGTTTCTGAAGGAAAAACTGTGTTTTTAAAGAACGTACCATTCTCCGTGAAGAATGACGAATTAAAGGAGTACATGGAACAACGATTTGGACCCGTACATTATGCTCTCGTATGCATTGATCCGTTGACTGAATTTTCAAAGGGCACTGCATTTGTTAAATTTAAGGTAAATTTTCATAAGGCCATAATTAGTTTTTTATAACGAAGCTTAACTGCAATTATAATCTTTCTATTGTAGACTGTCGAGGATGCTGAGAAGTGTTTGTCAGCAGGAAATGAACTCGAAATGGATGATCAAATACTCGAGGCGCACAGAGCATTAGACAGAAACGAAGTTGAGAATAAAGCAAACTTAAAACAGCGTAATAAACAAAAAGACAACAGGAATTTATATCTAGTGAAAGAAGGAGGTAAAAATAAAAAACTTCACTACTTTACTCCTTCCTAAATTATTATTGCTAACAGCTGTATGAACTTTCGATCGTTTAGTTGTCTTAGCCGGAGGTCCAGCAGCCGTCGGAGTTTCGTCAGCGGATATGGCAAAACGATTGCAAATAGAGCAGTGGAAATCACAGATATTGCGGAACCTAAATATGTTCGTCTCCAGGACGCGACTCGTTGTTCACAATTTACCACCGACAGTGGACGATGTCAAACTTAGAAAAATTTTTCAACGTCATTGTCTACCTACCGCAGTTATTAGAGAGGTATTTTTGTTGATATAAATTATCACATTATTCACTTCTTTCTTAGAAATAACATTCCGATTTTGTGAAGGCACGTGTTATGAGAGATTTAAAGAACGTGGATATTAAAGGGGTAGGAAAATCTAAGGAGTATGGATTTGTATCATTTACGACGCACGAGGATGCGCTCCATGCTTTGAGAACTATAAACAACAACCCAAGTATATTCACTCCTAAAAGGGTATAACAATATCGATAGTAGATATCATAAAGTTAAGAAAAATTATATTCTTATGTGCACTTTTAATTATTTAGAGACCAATCATATCTTTCTCGATAGAAAATCGAGTCATGGTGAATGCCAGGCAAAAGCGACTTGAAAAAAGTCGCGAGAATAATCCTCTTTGGGTAGGAAATAAAGTAAAGAGGAAAATGGAAAACTCGAATGCAGACGTTTTAGCAAAGAAACGATTAAAAAATGAAGCGGATGAGGCCAATACAAAATCGTATACAGGAATGATCGGAAAACCAGGTGAAACTAAGTTGCGTTCAAAACACAATTTAAAGACTCAAGCGGTCGTGCACAATCAAACTGTAAAGAAAGAGAAGAAAAAGAAAAAGACTTCCAAAAAGTTAGATATAAAAAAGAAGCAAAAGATCGCTGACCGAAAAGAAGTTAAAGTAAGCACTTTTAAAATCTTGTTAATACTATCAATTTTTTAATCGTATATTTTTCATCTCTGAATTTTTTACAGCCAACACATAGGACAAAAGAAAAT